ATCTTTTCAGTATTTAAGAAAATATTTGTAGGAGGCTGTCAGTGGAAAACCTGAGCAGGTCAAGCCTATGAGTGGTGTTTTTTTTTTTTTTTTTCTTTCTTTGTCACACCGATGTGAAAAGAACTGTGATTTATTTTGGGATTTCTGTCATCCTAGGTATTTTGGAAATATTTGCTGTGTCTCAGGGGATTGTAGGAATACGAGGAGTTTTCAGCAACAAATTTTTAGCGATGTCAAAAAAAGGAAAACTCCATGCAAGTGTAAGTAAACCCCCCGCTTATCAGTATGTATTGTTTATTAAAGGCCTTGTGACACCTTCACGTGCACGCGCCAGTGATGCTTCCGAGCAGGGCCCCGGCGTGCCGAGTCCCTTTGGCTGCCAGGAAAGCTCCGCACTGGGTGGATCGGCACCGCACAGACAGAGAGGGGACAGGTGGAGCCAAAAACCTTGAATCCCGTATCCTTACTTACTGCATTTAACCAAGAAAGTGCTCTCTTTTTTTTTTTGCAGTTGGGTATTTGCATCAAAAGGACTTGTTCTTTGAGCATTGCCAGTTTATTTTTAGCAACTTCTGCAGCAGATCGCACAGACGGTTTTAGCCAAATGTCTCCCGGAGAGCGGCACGCGTGCTGCCGGGAGCCTGCCTGCGCCTGTGCATGTGCAGGGAAGGGGCTGCAGCCCCAGAGTTTTGGCTGGGGTTGCCCATGGGGGAGAGAGGTACCCCGGTGAGAGCATGCGGCTGCATGCAGGGTTTCGGGCAGGTGAGGTCCAGCCCGTGCAGAAGTGTTGTAGCTAGAGTGGAAATATCCCAGTAACTCTTATTTCTGCGGGCTGTTTTCCTGAAGGTTGGGGTTTCCTGCAGGTCTAATTGTGCTTTTTCCAGGCTTTTTGCATTGAACGAATCCTATAAGTTGATTTAACTTCTTTTTTTCAACTTCAAGATGCCGCTTAATTTTTTCCTGTTAGTTCTAGAGATTGTTCAAACAAGCGAAAGTAACTAGTGTGCTTACATGACAGTCGTCATATTTTAAAGGTGTGTATAAATGCAACACCCAAAGAAGGGCATTTTTAAGGCAGCATCCTGGATGACCTGTCACCCAGGTTTGTTTCCAGGGAGCCTGTTCAGGGCTGATAGCCTGGAAGAGGGAAAAGCCAATTGCCTGCCCCGCGGTTATGAGCCAAACCTCATGGTCGTGAAGTGGATGTTACTGATGCGCTTATGCCGCCCGAGCCCGCAGATTGCCTTCAAGTGAGATTTATGAACTAGCCCGTCTCTCCCTTGAGTCTTATTGGAGTGTTGCTCCTGAAACCTAATGATGCTTAAAGGGTGAGCACATGGTTGCTTATTTTGGGAAACAAAGTAGGAGCGGGAACAGTGTCTAGGGGAAAGGGGGAATGGCTGCGCGGAGGAAAACACGAGGGAAGGAGACGAGGCAGGAAACGAGCAGAGCAGGAGGAGAGCAGTGGAAAGGTAAAGGATGGAGAGGAGAGGGAAGCAGGCGGAGCGTGATCCCCGGACCCTCCAGATCCTCCCCTCCCTTGTGGCATACAATGGGCCCCTTATTCGCGCTGAAGCCTTGATTTATGCCCTGGTGCAGGCAGAAATTAAATCAAACCTCGTCAGTGTATAGTTAATTGTCGGCACACAAAGGGCAGTGCCAGAGAGGGACCTCAATTAGGCGGGTCAGAGCTGGGGGTGAGGACACACGATGCCCCGCTCGGATGAAAGCCACGAATTTGTAGAAACTTGACCCAAATGTCTAAAGATTGCTGGGCTAAATAACGCCGATAATGCAAACCCGGCATCTGTTGTTCTTTCCTGCCTTGGCAGGATAAAGTTATTTCATGGCCTAATGAGTTTTGAGCAGTACAAAGCGCGTCCTGCGCCCGTCACTCAGGGCAGTGCTTTGATATGGGAGTCACGCCGGTGACTTTGTGCTGAACTGCAGATAAAAGTCATTCCTGCAGGGATTCAGGCTCCTTCGAAACTGGCTCTCGGGGCCCGGCTTTATCCCAGCTCGGTGCTTTACAGCAGCCCTCCTTCCTTTTTTTTTTTTTTTTTGATGGCAACTTAATTAAATTACCAAGCGGTTCATTTTTAGAGGCACCGGTTTCAGAAAATGACAGTAATCCCGGCAATTATCAGTTGCGTGCACAGATGGCTTTTTCCTCGTTGTTAAACCCTCAGTCCCCTGTTTGTACATTTTTAGCATGGAACAGGCAGGAGGGGGTTTGGTGTCGCTCTCGGCAGCGGCCAGCGTGAACCCCAGAGGAGAGATTTGCCCACAGGGGGCTCAGGTAATTCTCCTTTCTCAGGAGTTGTTCTGAGTTGCCCGAACGCCGTGGTCCTCACTGGGGCAAATCTCTGTTGAATTGGATTTTGAAATTTAATTGACTTCAGGATTGCTCTTCATGATTGTTTCTGGAGCTGCTGCAGAGCAAATCCGACAGCCAGCCAGCGTGCCGTGGCTGTACCGTCTGCCCTGTGCCGGGAAAAATGCCTTTTCCCCAGCTGAAACGGTGCAGTTGCTGAGCTGAGAGGCCGGGATGTGGGGAAGCCTGTCAGAGTGATGGCGCAGCAGCAGCTGATGGGCTTCCCAGGGAGGTTTGCTGTCTGGGGGTGAGGGCTTCCTTCCGTGCGCACTGGTTGCGGGTCTCCTCCTTCCCCGCGCTGCTGGCGGGAGCAGCCCACGGCATCCCTCCATGTCCAGGGCTGGAGACCCCCCCCCACTTCCCCAAATCCCACTTTGGAGGGGATGCTACCCCTACTCTTAGGGAGCAGTTCCCCCAAAAGCACTTTAAGCAGGAACTTTTTCTGTGATGCTCCAGATGGGGAGGTGGCAGCCCTCTTACTGCCACCTCCCTTTTCGGAGTGGCATTGCCCCAAAAATGCTGGGCCAGATTGGAAATGCCGATTTGGCTTACCCACAAGCAAAGCAGCGGTAAGCTGACCTCTCTGTGTGGGGATACATAAGAGCAGGGTGATGAGCATCTTCTCCTATTCACAGCAGCGCTTGCAAAGCCCACTGGAGCCGATTTCAGTATCAGATCCTCGGCCGTGGCCAGACTTGATGCTTGGGGCAGGGCAGCCAACTTCATCTCCTACACCCAAAAAGCCTGCTCTTGCCATTTGCCTAGATCCCATGGGGAAAAGCAGGGCCTGTTTCAGGGTCCCAGCAGGGTCCCTTCTGTGTTGAGTACCCTTTCAGGCGTGCATCGGTGCCTTGGTCAATCCTAAAACCTCCCTGTGCAAAGGCTGACGTGGGGGTGTCTTGCCAGAGCACCGCTGCGCATGTCCAGGCTTCAGAGAGCAACGAGGGGTCAGCAAAGCCTTGCATCGGGAAGGTGAATACTCACGCATGGGCGATGCAGCATTGAGGATGTATAAAAGACAGGGAAAGCAAAAACGAGTCATCAAGGTGACGTTTCTTTCAAGCGAAGAACAAAAGGAGACTTAATTCAAAGTGCTATGAGGAAAAAAAATGCATTGCGGGTCAGGGACTGTCAATTGTATTGTAGGACTCAACTCCTCTGGTTAAATCAGGAGTTTAAAAATGATCCCAGACGGTTGGACCTTCTGTGTGGTTATAAAGCACTGCTTGGGGGTTTTGTCTTGTTCTTCACTGCTGGGGGTTTCGAAGCTGAAGAGCTCCGCATCCCTTTCACGTCGGTAGTTTTGAAGCATTGCTTTGCAAGCAGGTTGCGGTGCCCCAGGCATCACTGGAGAAGCTATCAGAGCATCAGGTACCATACCTATGGTCAGATTGAAGTGTGGCAAAGGATTTCATAAGGGTGGTTAGAGGCTGCAGACAGGTGTCTCAGGGCCGTGGGTATATAGCTGGGGCGTTATGGCTCTATTTTTGTGTTTCTGCATGCTTTTTTTTTTCCTCCCCCCTCTCGACAACAACAGGAGCTGTTATGGGCAGCATTCAGCCTGTCCTCTCGGGCAATGGGAAGCCTTTCCCCTCAGCCATCTGGGAGCCGGTGCGGCCACCCTGTTTATAAAAGGCGATGCTCTTGGGCTGAAAGTAATTTCTTCAGGTTATCAAGGGACAAAACACACCGAGTTCATTTAAGACGAAGAAGAAGAACAAAAAAAATCCAATACAGTCAAAGCCATGTTCAGTGAAGCAATGAAAATCTGCATGCAAATTGCCTTTCCAGATCATTAAGTGATGATTCAGTGCCCAAGCGAGGGGTGCGAGGGTGGGAACGGAGATGGAGTGGGGGCTCAACCCCAGGGTCCTTGGCGGGGCTGCAGCACGGGGGGTAAGGAGCCGCATCCTCCCTCCTGTTGGCAGGAAGGGCAGGAGGAGGGCTGGGGCGGGGAGGAAGGGTGCTGCTGGGGCACACCAAGCCTGTTTTTTCCAAGAAGGTCCAAAATTGGGTGGCAAGCAGCTACTGAAAGTATCTGTGTTGGGGGTTTTCCAAATTGCTGGGTGCTCGGTGGTCTCGGAGTGGGTTTCCCCGGTGCCCCGTGTTGCTGCTCGCCCCTTTGGACCTGGTTTTGGGAGACTTATAAAACCAGCAAGTATCAGGGGATGGGTAAAACCAGCCCTTTGCTAACGGTGCCCCGGCTCTGTCCCCGCAGGCCCGGTTCACAGCAGACTGCCAGTTTCGGGAGCGCTTCCAGGAGAACAGCTACAACACCTATGCCTCGGCTGTCCACCGCAGCCCGCGCTCGGGCCGCCAGTGGTATGTGGCGCTCAACAAGCGGGGCAAAGCCAAGCGGGGCTGCAGCCCCCATGCCCGGCCCCAGCACGTCTCCACGCACTTCCTCCCCCGCTTTCGACAGCCCCAGCCCCCCGAGCTCGCCTTCACCGTCACCCTCCCTGAGAAGAAGCCCCCGCCGCCACCGAAACCAAAGGTTGCTCCGTCCCCGCCTCGGAAAAATCCCAGCCCCGTCAAGTACCGGCTAAAGTTTCGCTTCGGGTAGTGCACCATGGCAGGGATGCTGGCACGGGAGAGAGTGGGCGCCTGAGCAGCTTTTGGGGGTGACCCCGTCGGAGACCTGCGTCCCCTCTCCCCAGACGGACGTGGGAAGACTCCGGGTAGCCGTGTTGGGCTTGGGGTCTTCTCTTTACCCTGCAAACCGGACGGCATCCTCAGAGGTGTGTGCTGGGATGACATAACTTGGGCGTTCCAAGAGTATTCCTGTGGCGAACAGCAAACACTTGATGGACTTCGGGTTAATTTTCTGTTGTTGAAAGACGCAGAAAGGTACCTCTACGGCGAACGTATTTTCTTACATTATTTTCACTAGTGACTCTTTTGACAATCGTTTTCATACAAGAGAGATGTTCAGAGCCAACCTCTTAAGTGCTTTTTTTTCCTTTTTGTTTTTTTTCAATCTCCTTTTTGCTGCACTTTCTTCCTCCAGCCATACCTCAGACACCGTATATCCAGGTCTTCCCCTTCCCCTTCTCTTACAAACCAACTTCTCCCTTCCACAACAAAACAACAAGACCAAGCCCAACAAATTCATTCACCTTATCTGTGGTGCAAGGGGGTCTTAAAACTCTTTGTTGGCAATAATAGATATATATATATTTTTTTAAGGGTTGCAGGCTTGGGGAGGGTGGCTGTTTGCAGCCCCGCTCCTGGTGGTCTGTCCCGTGCTTCCCTGGACAGCTGGAGGAGCGAGTCTCCTCCTGTCCATCAAAGTATGGCTTCGATGTCTGTGTTT